GCCCCGCGCCGAGGAGCCGCCGCCGCCCTCCGCCTTCTCCTCCGGCCGCCCCGACGGGGGCTTCTCCAGCATCTTGGTACCTGGCTTGAAACAGACGCCGCCGGCTCTGGTGCGCACGAAATACTCGGTGGTGTCCTCGGGCAGCACGAAGTCCGTCCGGTGCAGCTCCTCGGTGGCCCTGCTCGGCGAGAGCGGCTGGAGCAGGGGCGAGTGGGAATAGAGCGGGGTCCGCAGCAGGTCCGGCCTACCCGGCTCCGGGCTGGCCTGGGGCGTGACGGGGGCATTGTTCCAGAAGAAGCTGGACACCAGGTTAGGGCTGAGGGAGGCCAGTTCTCGGGGGAAGGTGACATAGGACAGAGTCTTAAAGAAGTGCAGGAAGGAGATGAGGCACAGGCCGGCCATACAGAACATGAGAAAGAGCTTATAGCGTCTCATCTTCATCCTGCAGGAAAGAGGGAGACAGCGGACAGGTCAGGGGTCTGCAGACCTGGGCCAGGGGAGTCTGAGGCTCTTCTCCCAGGAAGGGGACCTGGAGGCCTTTGCTGTCACCGTGTTTGTGAATGTCCTGGCCAGTGCCTGATGCCCCAGCATTGTCACCTCCTTCCCGCCAGGAGTCAAGCCTGCAAGTCCAACTTGCTGTACCAAGCACCCCTGGAAACTCCCCTCCTGGCTCAGGACCTTCCCCCTGCTCCCACAGCCCTTCCCCTCAGAGACCACCAGGGCACCACACATCGCTCCACAGCAGCCTCCTCCTCCACCTGGCCCACCCCTCCCTGACCCTACCAGCTGCATCGCTAGGCTTTGCTCCAGGAACAAAATGCATCCTGGGAAAAGCTCAACCCTGCAGTGCAGAACCTGCCCCAGAGGGATACAGGCCCAGAAGGAGGGGGAGAGCGGGCTGCAGCCCTGGTTGGGGGGGGGGGTTGCTTCTTTGCACTGCCCGGAGTGCTGTGCTTGTCCTTCCTTCTTTCCTTCCTTCCTCTGGACACACTGACAAATCTTTTTCATACCTTTTCACTGAAAAAATTCACAGGTCTCAAGGGATGACACTTAATTCTGACCAATTTAAAGGATAAAACTATGCAAGTTCCCTTCCTTACCCCCTGCCCTGTACTAGACCAATGTCCTGGCGTGAACTATTTGATCTGTTTGAGGTCTATCACTGGTTTATATGCAATTTTTCTGTTCTTGGTTTAATATTTTTCACAAATATTATCATACTGGACACTAAGTCCAATCAAATTGTTCTCTTCAATCAACGATAGAGATTTTCATACCAGGAGAAATAGATCTACCACTTCCTTTTAAATTTCACATAATATTCTAGGGTTATTTTGAATGAATTGCTCTCTGTTCACGAGTGATTCATGACTATAACCATTCTCTGCTCATTTACAGTTTAATTTATCAATTGGTTTGTGGCTGTGGAATGGAGAGCCTTGTCTATTGTTTTTACAATTTAAATAGACTTTCTATTTTAGAATATTTGTAGCTTGTCAGAAAAGTTGCAAAGATAGAGCAGAGGGTTCCCTTCCACTCCTCAGCCAGTCTCCCCTAATTCGATTTCTTACACGACCACAGTACATTTGGGAAGCTGAAATGGACGCGTGACTATCAACTAAACTCCACATTTGATTCTGATGCACCGTTTATCTGCTGCATCTGTGCAGCAAGGGAGCACTTGTGACCGGAGCCCTCAGCTCACTGTGTTCTCGAGCCCAGGGAGGTGGGTGGGCAGGCAGTTACAAAGCTGGGGCATGAGTCTGGGTGGCTTGGCTTCCGTGCTACATGCCCTTCCCAGCCTCACCTTCGTGAGGAGTCCCGAGCGAGCTAGTGAGGAACAGCCGAGTCGCCAATCCCACTAGCCAGGGCGGAACTTGTGCTCTCAGTTCCAAGATGCCTCCTCCTCCAGCTGAAACGCCTGGCCCTCCTGGAGCCTGCCCACGGGCAGCTGGCATGGCTGAGTGCAGGCAGGCAGGCCAATCAGGGGTGGGGGCCTGACCTCTGCTAATGTCAGCCGTCCCAGGGCAGACATGGGGCTGGTCTCCACTGGCCTTTGGGAAGGCAGGAGGAAGGGATGCTCCTTGGCAACATTCTGCAGTGGGTCCTCTGGGCTCCTCCCTCCACAGTGGACTCCAACCCTGCTCTGGCAAAGCGCGACCAGGGAGCCCTGGCCAGCAGGTGAGCTGAGGGGCAACGGGGTGAGGCCCAGTAAAGGCAGGTGGATAGGAGTTCTTACTGTGGCAGGGGCCAGGCTTAAGGCAACACTGCAAACTGAGGTCAGCCCGGCAGAAGCCTCCAGAGTGACAGACCTGAGGGGTTTCAAGACCCGGCAAGGCAGCCTGATCCTTCCGCCTCTGTTTGTCCCCACTTCTGCCTCTGTGAGGCACAGCCCAACCCCAGCCCTTGTGGGACTGAACCCGCCTGTGAGCTGTGGAGGGCAGGGCAGGGCCAGGCTGCCTCTCAGACTACATCCCCCAGCAGCAGCGAACAAAGGCCTTAGCAGGTCAGAGAAACTCAGGGAGGCGAGTGAACACCCTGCTTGGTGCAAAGGGGTCCCTGTGGCTCTGCTGAGGTCACCCTGACCAGCTACCCCATAGCTCCCTGGCCAGGCTGGCTTTCAGGATCTGGTTACACCTGGCGGGCTGTGCCCTTGGGATGACAGATTCACCAATGCCTGGGATCTCCCTCTGACTCACAGGGGCCTCTAGGGTGAGGCCCCTTGAGAAAGCCCCAGCCTGGCTTGCTGCCGAGAATCACGGAACTGAGCATGTTTTCCTCATCACCCAGGCTGCTAGGAAGCTCAAAAGTGGACAGTGATTGGCCTGGAGCTAGTCGGTGCCTCGCAGGCTACATTTTCTGGGACACCTTCATTCATGGCTGCCTGTATTTTTTCAACTCTTATTCTTCTTGGCCTGATTCCTTTTTATCTTATCTTCATGTATTTTGATAAGTGTTTCAAATACCTTTTTTGACTGAGAGGCATATAGGTAGGAAACTGAATGAAGAAATAAGCACTGGCACCCAGGGTCTCACTTAAGTCTCAGCCACCCTGGGAGGTCATTGTAACCGCTCCATTTTTACAGATGGCGAAATGGAGACTCAGAAAGATGACGAGACTTTCCCCAAAGGACATTCAGAAGGTGGCCAAGTCAGGACTTGAACGGTTCTGTTCCAAGCCAGCGCCTCCCTCCCTCCTTACAGCTAAGACTGTATCCCTCCCTGGTCGCCTGGCTGGGGGCTAAAGCTGTGAAACCAAATTAGGCCCAGCTGGCAGCATTTCTGCCTCCATTATAAAGCTTCATTGAGAAACCATCAGGTGTGACCATAAAGCTTATAACCCACCGCTGTCCTGAGCACATTACACACGTGACCTCACTGAATCCTCCCACCACGAGGCAGGTACTGCTGTCACCCCCATTTTACAGGTGAGGACACTGAGGCCAGACAGCTGATGTAGTTTGCTCAGCATCACACAATTAGCAAGGGTCAGACTCGATTCTGTGGGGTCAATAGTGGGATTTCATCCAGTGGTAAAGCTGTCCTGGGCTCCTTCCATCTGCCAAGTTCAACCCAAGTGGGGTGACAGGGGCCCCAGGAAAAGTCCACCTGTGACCAGTGAAGACAACCCAGTGGATGGAAGAGACACCATCACATTTGATCACACAACACCTGGCAGGGCGCTCACCCAACCCGTATTGTCCATTCACTCGGCAACTACCTACTGAGAGCCCCACTGTGTGCCAGACCCTGGGAGCACGGGGGATGAGGGGGACAAGAACCCCCGCCCTGTGGAGCACGCACAGGGATGAGCGGGGCAAGGAGATGGCAATAAACTGAAAATAAATGAGTCAAATAATATTGTATGTTAGAAAGAGCCATGCTCTGGAGAAAAATAAAGCAGTGTCCTCATAGGAGGGGGCGGTTCAGTGACAAACAGGGTTGTCAGGGCACGCCGCACGGAGAAGAGTGAGACGTAAAGATGAGGGTGCAGGGGAAGAAGGTTCCAGGCAGAAGGAACAGCCGGTGTCAGGAGGAGTGCGGAACTTCAAGGAGGGAGATGGACGGGCCCAGGCCATGCAGAGCCTGGGGCCATGGCTGGAAATGTGGCTGTCACCGGAGGATTCTGAGCGGAGGAGGGACGTGACCTGACTTCCGTGTGAACAGGCTGACCTGGCTGCTCTGTTGAGAACAGACAGTTGCCTCAAGGGCGGAGCAGGGAGAGCAGGAAGAGGCTGTCGCACTGACCAGGAGAGACGGGGTGGCTTTAACCGGGGCGGGGGCGGGGGGTGGAATCCAGGTTCTGCTGGATTCGCTGATGACCGGGATGGGAAGTGTGAGCGAGGAGTTAAGTACGACAGCTCCAGGACCTGGAAGGACGGAGTAGCCTCTGACCGGGGCGGAGGCCACCCCTCAACAGCCTTTGTGGAGACGGGAAATGGCAGAGCCGGGCTTCGAGGACGCCTCTGTCTCTGCAAGTCCCCCTCCAACCCCTGCTTCTCTCCCCGCGGACGCAGACACTGAGGCTGAGAGGGAGGGGCCTGGCCACAGTCACACAGCTGGCTAATGGCAGAGCCTGGCCATTAACCTTGGTCTCTGGATCCAAATCTCATGTCCTTTCCACAGTACGCTTGGTCTAGAAGCTTCACAGAATGGACGAGGGCGGGGCGAGCGATGCTTTAGATATGAGGTCCCCCTGGGGCTCTGGGAGTAGGAGCTAGGGGCAGGCACTGTCCAGTCCACCCCCACCCCCTGCTTCCTGGGAAGCATCAGCTTGAGCCCCCGCAGGAACTCAGGACCCCAGGAGGGGCATGGTGGTCAGGACCTGCCTAGAGAAGCACCCTTAGCTGGGGAAGGACTTGGGGTCCCCAGGGGCTGGGCCGTTGCTCTCTAGGGCCAGGAAGGCAGCTCTCTGAGAACAAAACGCCTGTCTGGGGCCCTCCTGCTGCTGGGAGTGATTCTGAGGCAGCTCAGAGGCCACACTCAGGCCCTTACTCAGGTCAGTAAAATTCACTGAGTATCTCCGGTGCCTGCTCAGTGCCAGGGCCGGCCTCCTTTGAAACCAAGTGCCTTCTGCCCCAGGCCTGAACCCATACTGAGCTCTCCCAACCCTCTTCCTGACTCCCCACAGGGATCACTGAACCACCGTCTTCTGGGTTCATGGGAACCTGAGCCTCACGGTCACTTGGCCTCTCTGAGCCTCAACTCCTCCGTCTGGAAAATGGATACAGCCATTCCTGCCCAGCCCACTTCAGATGAGACAGAGAATCAGAGAGACCAACCCACAGCCCTGTCCCTTTCCCAGCGCTCGCCATGCTGGGCTCACCTCTCCTGACATCTGTCTCCCCAGCTGGACTACGAGCTCCCCAGGGCAGGAACCTGTACACAGCAGGTGCTCAGCAAGAGCACCCTGCATTGCCCTGGGCCTGCTGAACACGCTCACCATCGCTTCCAAGCGCACAGACTCCAGAACCAGACTGCCCGGTTCAAATCCTGGCTCTGCCACTTCCTATCTGTGAGGCCTTGGGCAGGTTAATAACTTTGCTCCTTTTTCTCATCTATAAAATGAGGGTTCAATAACAATCCACTTCAAGTTTCTAGCACATAGTCAGTGCTCAATAAGCTTTCGCTCTTCTTATGGCTATTATTATTCCCCAGCCTGGCAGAGAGTAGGGAGATCCTTCGGGTGGGGGCACTGCAGGAGTAAAGGCCTGGAGGGGAGCCCTGGCAGGGCCTGCGCCCCGGTGGGCGCCGTCCTGTCTCAGAGCAGCAAGGAGCAGAGTGGGGGTGCTCAACAAGTGGAGCCCAGGCAGAAGCTGAGCCTGACAGGGGGTGGGCTGGGAAACAGCACCCTGCTTCCTGGCTCCAGGGGAGGAGGGAAGAACTGCAAGGCTCTCAGGAAGCCTCCCTAGAAGGGCCCCCAGCCCCGGGGGGCCTGGGTCTCCTGCATGAAGATGGTGGGGGAGGGGCCGGGTGCTTCCTGGTAGCTAGATAATCATGGACACAGGAGGCTGAGGCTGCCCCTGACCCAGGGTGGGGGCAGGACAAGCCCACATTGGCCTCTTCTTCCTGTACTGACTCTTGGCCACGGCCATGCCCCAGAGGGTCCCAGCTGGGCAGATTTTCCTCCTTCCCTCCCTATTCCCACTTCTCTCTTCTCCTGTTCTTGCCCTTTTTCTTTGGGCTCTGCTTGGAAGGCTGATGGGGTGAGGGAGGGAAGCAGATGAGCCCAACCCCCATGGCCCAGCCATGACCTCAGGGGTGGGCTCAGGCTTAGTCCACTGGGGGCTCCTGGCCAGAGAGAAGACACGTGCTCCCTGGAGACCACAGGCTTGACCACGGGGCTGGCCAGGCCAGCAGTAGCCTCCGGTGCAGACACACCCTGACAGCTGTCACCGGCCTGACGGGAGCCCCTGTGGAGCTCTCCATGGTCCTGAGCTCGCCTGCGCTGACCATGGTCCTAGCTCAGCCTAGGGGTGCCCTCAGCCGGCCTCACCCTGGCCCCTGCCAGCCTCCTCCGTGGTTCAGCGGCTCATGTCCTAACGGCCACTTCTCCTGTTTGACACTCTCTGGCCCCCTTCCCCACCTGCCTCGTGACACCGGATCCCTGGCGTCTCAGCTCTGGGACAGCCCAGGGGCACTCAACTCCTCTAACTGGGAAAAGGGGCCAGCTGTGGTCTGTGTCTGACACCGAGTAGGTGCCTGGTGTGCTTTTGGGGTGTCCATGGGGGGCTTCTCGGAGCCCACCCTCAGCCTCCACTCCTGGCCAGGAATCTACCCATCCACAACTCCTAGTCTGGAGCACCTCTGGGGATGGCCCCTCACCACCTCTCCAGGAGTTAGTGCATCTGCTGGAAAGGGCATCTTGACTGTGAGCTGAAGCTCCCCTCCCTCTGCTCACCCTCCACCCCATCCCAGGCCTGCCCCACTCAACGGCAGGGCTCTGCCCGCCCCTGTCAGGAAGACAGGACGTGCATCTCTGCAGCAACTGTGCTGTGCCCAGCAGCTCCTGAGACCCAGGGGAGGCCAGTGGTTATGACGTTGGATCTGAACACTGCCTCTGACCTCGGCAAGTTACTCCACCTGTCTGTGCCTCAGTTCCCCTCTCCATAAAATGGAGGTATAAGTGTCTATCTCATAAGGTTGTTGTGAGAATCATATGAGTTAATCCATGCAAAGGACTAATAACCGTGCCCAAGCACACAGCAGGTGCTTGGTAAGCACTGGCCTCCATTGTCACAGGAAGTCAGGAGGATTTGGTTTGAATCCCAGTGCTGTAACTTACTAGCTGTGTGCCCTCAGGCAAGTTACTTGGCCTCTCTGAGTCCCAATGTTCTTAGATGTAGGAAGATGCCATCCCTCCCATGCAGTCCTGTGGGACACCTGGATGAGCTGTGGTGTCAAAGCATCCTGCCTGGAGCCTGGCACTTGGCAGATGCTCTGAAAATGCCTGTTTCTTTCCTCCCACTGGGTTTCCTTCCAGACAACCAAACACAGATGACACCACTGAACATGCCAGGCTTTGCTCCTGGTGGCTTTGTTAAAGGACTGGGCCAACTACAGGGCTGCTTACCACTGGCACCCACCACCCTAAAAGGAATTTCTCAGTGACTCATCAGGCTTTCAGGACCTGAGGCCAGAACCTGGGGAATCTGGAGGCCCACGGATGGTGACTTCACCCCAGGCCAGTGCCCCTGCCAAGGGTCCATCTGGCTCTGCTCTTAATGGTGCCCATTCCAAGCCCTTTGGGCTGCTAGAAATCCCTCCTTCTGTTGCCCCAAATCAGCCTCCCTGGAGCTTCAGCTACTGGTTCCGGGTCCTTCCTTGGGGATTAAGCAGAGTGAGGCAGCATCTCAAGGATCAGAAGTCAGTGACCATCTCCTCCCGACTCTGGGACTATTTTAAATAAGCATCCTTCCAACATGAGGTTCCACGATCCCACATGGAAAGACGAGCAGAGGAGGTGGCTACAGAACACAACGGATTCTGGAGTTCCGGCAAGATGCGAGCAACAACTGATGCTGTGTTTATTTCTTCACCTCTCCTCGTTTTGTTCATTCCTTCTATTCATATCCATCAGGCAGGGCTCCACGAGGGTCAAGCCTACACACAGAGCTCACTCTACTGTCAGCGCATCATCCAGGCTACTGGTGGACAATTACCAAGACGCTGTGTGCCAGGCGCTGCCTCCGCGAGAGCTGGAGAGAATTAGGGGCCGACTCACGGGTCAACCCGGGAGGCAGGTACGTGTGTCTCCATTTTGTAGATGAGGAAATGCAGGCTACGAGAAGTTATGCTACCTGCTCAGCTACACACGCCTTGTGGGAATAAAACAGATGGAAACCGAGACTCCCCAAGCATCCTGCACCTGCTGAGAGGTAGACCGGTGGCCCAGCAGGGCTGCAGATTTGGGGGGGCCTGCCCCACGAACAGCCTGGCTGAGGAGGGTCTAGTGTACCGTGACCCCCAGTCCCCAGGAATTCTGCTCCCCCAGCACTCCCCAGAGAGAGAGAGTCGGCTCAAGGGGCCAGCCCTGGCCAAGGACTCCTCCTATCCCAGGTGGCCAGAGTCCTGGAAAACACTGTCCCCCATGGGGCAGGTGCACAGCTGCTGCTGTTCCCATCCCCACATAAGGAAACCAAGGCCCAGAGAGGAGGGGCAGCGTCCACCAGGAGCCAGTTCCTGGACTAGCCAGACGGGGTGCCAAGGCCAGCGGAACACCCAACTTCCCTGGGCACGAGGGTCTGGCCCCCACTCTCTCCCCCGGCTCACTCCAGGGTGGGGAGCTG